GATTTCATCACTGTCCTAAGGAACTTCGTCTCGGATAGGAGTGCAAGGAATACCACAGGGCGCAGAGGAGTTATTTGTGATGGCAAGCGAAGCGAAAATTTTACCGAGCCGATCGCACGAGTCGTCTCTGTTTATTGTCTAGTTTACTGTGTAATCGACTATCAAACCGTCATGCGATCTTGTTACAAACCTGGTAAAATATTATCTAACGCTTGGTGGGAACGAACGAAAGTCCATTCGGAAATCGAAGCTTTCCGAGCGAGGCACGAAACCTAGAAGAAAAAGGAGACTCTTAAGTTTATTGTATGTTCGTTGTTATTCTTCCGCAGTCATTACCTTCGGCGGTTTTTCGGAGCATTGGATAATATTTTACCTCAGGTTTATAAGACGACCGAATGACCGTTTGCTCGATTCTACAGTACAAAAACAAAGGCGATGCGCCGTATTAAACGTAAAATTTAACTAAAATCAACAATCAGGGTACCCTGGGTACCAGAGGTTTTTCTCGCGTGCGGCGGGAATTTTCGGCGTTGGCCGAAGGCCGATAGGTTTTTGTACATTATGCTAGCATTTTTTTGAGCATTTTAGTGAGATAAAAGCATTGAGCATTATTCGAGAATTTTAGTGGCATTTCCCCGGAAAATTAATTTTTCCTGAGAAAATAAAATAGAAATTAACTTTTTTCAGGAGCCCATGCCCCATGAGCTCCTGCTTTTTTAAACAAAATGAAGACTAGAATTCAAAATTCACAAAAAACCTAATACAGCTGGTTGTTTTGGCTGTATTTATGAACTTGTACACGTTGTCGTTGCTACTTGCGACACTTGCACGTTTTTTTAAGTGTAAACTTTGAAATTAATTAAAAAAACCGTTTGTATAATGAGCATTATCCGAGCATTTTAGAGACTTTTTTGGGGAGACCGAGCATTTTAGTGGGAAAAATGGAGCATTAAGGTGAAGCATTTTAGTAGGGAAGCAAAAGCATAATGTACAAAAGCCTAAAGGCCGACAAATCTTCGGCCGTAGGCCGAAGCCACGAGCGGCGAAGGGTCACTATAAAGACTTGACAGAAACCGGAAACCGCGCTAGAAAAGTCTCTGGCACCCAGGGTACAATCAGGGCCACCATGAATAACTCCTCTGCGCCCTATGGGAATATAGGATGCATTTTCAGTCGTAGAAAAAGTGCTCACACCACAGGAGGACCAAGATCAGTATGAGAGTCAGTAGTTAATACATCAGGGTCTTGTATTGAGTGATCCTCGAAATGGCCGGGAAGATAAAGGATTTGTATGGGAAGTTTAGATTCAGGTAATAGATTCAAGAAGATAAACACTCGCTAGAATTAGCCTACGCGCAGACCCTTTAAACCCTGTATTCACACTATATGCGATACGTGGGCCGGCTGCACAGCAGACTTGCTAGAATTACATCTTATGTACTGTGTGGTTATTTTTAAGTAAATAAGGTAGGTGCATTTTATCGAAAATTCTAGCGAGTATTTATCTTCTTAAATCTATTACCTGAATTCCCATACAAATTCTTTATCTCCACAGCCTTTTTGAGGATTACGTTCAATATGAGGCCACACGCATTAATGATAAAACCCTCATATTGAGCTTGGACCGCCTGTGCTTGATCTAGCCTCCACCGACTCTTCCGTCCCCCTCCCCTTAAAATAATACGTTTTATTACATAAATTTTGACGCTTAAACGAAATGAAATAACTCCGAATAACTGATTATTACTCAAGAAATGGAAGCAAAAAAGAGCAGCTATAGTTTAGTGGTTTTAAATCAGGAAACTTCAGCCTTGTCGAGCATCGAAGCCTTAGCAACTCCTGCAGTAGCAGTTTGTGCATAGCATAGAAACTCTGTCTGGAAAACAAGTAATGTCCTTGGTTTAACAAAGAGTTGAAATTTGAATTGGGAGAGAAGAATGCTAGTCAGTTTTATCATCATTATTATGTATCAGAACTTCTTTTAATTTGCAGGCTTTAATTTAGGAAGATCATCAATACATTTTTTTATTAAAGCGTAGATAAAGGTTGGCTTATACACTACATTTTAACCTCATTAAGCGGAAACCTCTCCTAACTACAAACGGTTTTGCTCAAAAAGTTTCACACGAAAGTTAGTTACATAATTATCATGTTGGGATTATATCCCAGTAGCCCCAAGTTAGATATCCGTTAATTTTTGTTCCAGTTATTATTTAGTAGGTCATTTAAAGTTTACGTTGTTCGAAATCTTGCCCCTACCGTAGTTGCATCTTTTGCTTCAAGACCAACGATTAACAAGAATTGGCGACATTATTTAAAAAAACGTTCTCAGTAAACTGTGCCAAGCAGAAAAAATTATGCATACAACTCTAACTTCTTTTGCAAGAAAAGTTAATGTGTAACAACTTTGTTTTGTGTATCTCCTTGAATATTTTTACATGGCTTTATTTTTTTCCTTTTTCTCTCTTTTCTAGATTTATATACTTCTGGTGATTATCATCGTGACTCCAAAGCCTTTTTATTTTCATTGGTTAACAGCCCAGGATGGGCACCTCTTAAACTGCCTCAGACAGGGGAAAGGAATAATTATAGGGGTTCCATACGTGGTCACTCAGGATTGGGACCTACATTCGGAGGCGGATATGACATTTCCATTTATGACAACGCACCATCCAATAGTTATACTTACAGCAACCTTGGCTGGACCTACAGTCCACCGAGCGTTTACAGCTACGGCAGCACATTCGCCCAAACATTCCTGGCAGGAACTTACAGGTTCACACCTGACGAAGTAGAAACTTTTTACGAAACAACATGAACATATAGTAAATGACATTCACTTAACTATTTGAGCTGGGCGGAGTTAAAACTTCATAACTAAAATAATCACTAAACTGATATATGCTGTTCTGACAAGCATAGACACTTCCCTGCTGCCTCAGAAACAAGGCCATGGAAAATTAGATTAGATGAAGTAGCCCATAATCATGTAATCTACTGATCACTGATCGTAATAATAGAGAGCTGCAATATTAAGTGCAAAGACTGTCCTTTGCTTGCAGCATTGTTCAAACTAGAGGAGTTTATATGCCACGATGTCACCAAGTAACTTCCCTGGAAAGTTATTTCACTTTAGGTGAAAAAACCTGATGAAACGTTATGATTAGCAACTAAAAGGCTAAGCATGATATGAAGAATCACGCAGATGTAAGAGGGTGGTACTGGATAACACACTCTGAGATCTGCATAATTCTTTTTATTAATCATTAAAATATTTCACCCGCAGTTTCTGATTGGCTCAAAGACCCCGGCTAATTCTTCGTAACCAACTGGCTTTGACCAAATTTGGAATATGCGCGCAATAAACCATTGATTCGATCGACGGTATATTGACTTGGAAATGAGGTTGATCGATGGTATATTGATTTAGAAATAAGGTTGTATGGGCAATAGACCATTGATCAACCTCGTTTCCAGGGGCGGCGGCCCAGCTGTGTTTATTCACGAGTGAGCTAGGAAACGGAAGGAATGGATCGAAAGCAGGAAAATATACATATTGCTCGATGGATGTTATCTATTTTTTGAGGATTATCTGCAAGAAAAAAAACTGTGTTTATATCCTGAAACTGTGCCGAAATTAGGCCAGAGTTTAGAAGACAGTCTAGCAGGAGGTGGGCTTGTTAAGAACTTTAAAATATTTTGAAAGAATGATAAAACAATTATTGAATTCGGCTTTCGTATGATGTGAGGAATTATGCAGATCTCGAAGGACGTTATCCACCTCGGCCTTCAGCTCGATGGATAACATCCTCCTCGATCTGCATAATTCACATCCTACAAAAGCCGAATTCATAATTGCTAAATATCATACGAAAGTAATCGTTTAATTATTCATTCAAATTACTTTTACCCCTCGATTTATGAAAAGTTCGCAATCCCGTCGTTAAAACATTTGCCTGTTCCTCTGCAGTTTTAGGATATTAAGGGATGTCATGATCAGTCTTGCAAATATCATGGTTCTACAATTAGCAGTTGTCATCCGTCGAGTGATATTTTTGATAACCTTGCTAAGATTTTGAGAAGTAGCTGAGTTTGGATATGTCTTCTTTGCATAGCGCGTAAAATCTGCTGCCGTTTTTTAGCTCTGCCAAAACACTAAGCTAAGCTAGGGGGCCTTCTGCTGCTGTGTGGGGCTGTTTCTGCCAATTATCCGTAAAAGCGACTCACCTTTTAAGAAATCGGCAAATGCTAGCTGATTATTGAGAATTAGCCGGGCGATTTAAACCCAAACGGAGAATTATGAATGAAAAATTTATCATTATCTTTATCATGAGAGAGAGCCACTTTTGCTCAATTATAACTAAGACTTAACAGTTTCGCTCAGAGGTGCTTCATTGTTTACCATTCGGCTATTAAAAAATAATGAACTAATTAAAAGTTGTAGTCCACAAAAATTCTTGTTTTTTGAAACCTCTGTTCTATGGAAAAGAGAGATAATAGTGCTGAACATCTTCTGTTCCCTTGAGATTTTGTGAATTGGCTTTAAAATTTGCCTCGAAAATGAAATGTTTATCAGTTAACATTCTGCAGTTAAAAAAACCTTAGTTTTGAAGGGTTTTTTTAACTGGATCTAAGGTGCTCCGTGACGTCCGTGTGTTCATTTAGCCCTTGCAAAATTGAAGTTAATGCCGGATAACCATATAGATCTACTTTAACCCTTAATCAGGGACGAACCAAACGAAGTTCTTAGGCCTAAGCTGAACGTCGTACTTCGTTTGATTCGTCATTCCTCGCTAACGTTAAGTTCTTTAGCGAAATAATATATAACTATCCCCCGAAGGGGAGGCGAATAGTACGCGTAATTGGCAATATTAACCCAATGAACTAGACAACCTTGAAACAGCCTCTTTAACGGAAACGCCCGTGTGTTCATTTAGAGCTTGCGGGTTTCAGTTTCATTTCACTAGCCAGGAGTGGGTTCCAATTCCAAATATAGTCATTGTCACCATAATTGGAATTCAGGCTTGAGTCACGACAGCTTTTGTACCACCATGCTCCCTTGTAACTTACAGCACAGTTACTACCACTTTCGTCGTTATCTCGGTCCTTTGTAGTGAAAGCCATGCCATTATGATAAGCCAGTTGATCCGTAGCTGTACCAGAGTAAAACCCAACAAACAGCGTGTAGTTAGACGCCTCGTTAGTAACTGTAAAATTACTGTACTTGGCGTACTTGTTGCCATCATTTTTTGTCTTAATTTCCACTCGCAGCTGACTCGGAATCTCCGTCAGTTGATGAATCTTCTCGTTTCCAAGCCAAAACTCTCCTCTGACGTCACCAAAGCCGTTTTTGTACTCCTCCCACCCCCTGTAGAATCCAACAAAGCCATTTAAGCGCTTGTGAAAGACTGTCCACCCTCCACCATCAGTCTTCATGTCACAGAACACCTCAAAACTGGTTTTGTTTGTTGGGTTTACTGCGTACACGCCATTCTCTTTGAAACCGGCGTTCAACAGCTCGGCACAATCTTGGGCTGTAAAAATTAAAAAATAATAAAACCAATTATTTTAAGTCAGTTACTATAAATAAATAAATGAATGAATAAATAAATAAATAAGTTAATAATAAAAAAAATAACTTATCATATCGATTGAGCCTCACTTTTAGGTGCTAACAACCTGAGTTGAAAGAATCAGTGCAAATGTTGGTTGGGTTATGGGACGAAGACGTTAAACTGACTTCAGGCAAGGCAGATTGGTTTGACCACTATGGACGGAAAGATAGGGAAATAAATTTCCTTTAGCTGTCCAATCAGCCTTAACACTTGCCTTCACCTCTGAGTGTTACCTACATCGCTGATACTGATGTACACCAAGATCCGGCTTCCCCTCACTACCGTTTGTCTAAGTGGTCCTTGCAAGAATTGTTCGTCATGGGTGTGAGGTAGCTTCTGGGTGAGCTTCAGTTTAATTGAGGGAATGGTGAGGGGCAGCTCAAAACTCATTAGAAAGATAAAATGTTGATGGAAACTGTGCCATTTTTTTGAATAGGACTTCCTTGACCAGCATTTTTAAGCGGAACCTCAATGGGTAGTTAAAGCTGAAAATACTGATGCGTAACCTCTGAGGCAGTTGTGTACGAGTTAAGTCGAATTGAAATCAAAACATTTTTTCAGTAAGCTAATCTCGGCTTACAAGGAAATTTTTAGCATCAGGCTTACGTGTGATTTTCTTCCCAGACGCAGGGTTTGCTTCAGAAACATGTTTTTTGTCTCAGGCCCCTTTTTATAGGGAGAAAAATTGTCCGAGTTTCGGAGCTATCCTGGGCGAGCCAAATTTTATACATTCCCTTACAAAACGAGGCGAATCGTTTACATGAGAAACAAAAAGTTAGCTCGGCAAGGGGAAACAGCCTAGCAGGGTCACACTTTTGTGATTGTAGGGTCATCATCCTAGCTGGGCCAACTTTTCTTCATATAAACACTTTGGCTCGCCCCGCCGAGTCAAGTCGGTCTGGGCCATCAGGGCATGCGCGCGCCGTTTAGATAATCAGAGCATGCCCGAGGGGTGAACTTTTTTCTCTTTTAAACGCTCACTAAAGTTGACTCGGCTAGAAGGGTGACACTCTTTCCCGGGACAACTTTTCTCTATGCAAAGGGGGCCTTAGTGCGATTAAGGGGGCATTACTGTTGGTTTTTTAAATATTGATTGGGAAATATTGACGTGGGAGGGAAATAAATTAGGTTAGAAAATAAGGTATTCACATAAACCAGTATGAGTTAGTCCTCTAATGGGATCAGAGGGACCTTGTTGTGGTGGTGGACTATCTGGTAATTGTCTACTAATTTTTCACATCATATCTTATTTAAGCAATAGACCACACTTTCTATGGGTTTACGATTTACAAGCTTTTCGAGTGTTCTCCCAACATCCCAAGTGGGTTATCACGCCGGTAAACCCATAGAAAGTGTGGTCTATTGCTTTTATAAAACAACTTTTAGTAGAATGGAGTCTTTTAGGTAAAAAATATGGTTTTAGTACCGTGATCAAGTCATGTCTTCTCTCTAAAGTCATCATAAGCCAATCATGACTCACGATTTAATAGCGCTGAACTTTCTTAAACTCAGTTCAGTCAAACAACAAACAGCAGCACTTCAAAACACGAGTTTTTGCACTCATTACATGATAACTTATGAAAGATGTCATAAAAGTCAACATTTATTCATGCGAACGTACAATGAAAGAATACGTTCATGGTTTGTTTACTACAGAAGTAGAAATTAATTGAACATCAGCTGACTGTACGCAGGTGTATTTTGTTGAGTCGATCCGTAAGAATTTCGTGCTTACAGACGAAACTGGAAGCTATGGTTATGGAGGACTTCATTCACATTTTACAAACCGCAGTGGTTTAAGATCTGTTTTCTGGACTTTGTTATGGTTAAGAAATGCTGCGGTAACGACGTAGCTGCATTTGCAAAGTTGTCGCATGTAACTTTATATGCAGGTACAGTACAGGGACCGATGGGAAAAATGGTGGAGAAAGGTTTCTTTGCCGTAGCCACATATTGGCGTTAATATTTGTCGATTTGTAAAGTCAGGTGGTTTGAGTTAGGTTATGGCATTGATATCACCGAATAATTTGTACAAATGTTGGAAAAAAACAGTCCGAAATTCTGACATCTTAAATCGTCGTTGGCAGCTTGTTTACAACCTACGACGGCTGATTTTGTACCATATCTTGATCAGAGATCTCTTTTTGGAACAATTTCTTTCATTAAGGAATTTAATTTTGACATAAAATAAATCAAGAATGCTAAAACTATCCGTTTTGTTGCTGGTTGGTGCATGGTTAAGTTTTCCTGGAGACTTTCTACACCAGAAATTCACACAGTTGTTGTCTTTCTCTGCGATTTGGTATCGTCGTGAAATGTAAACTGCTTTCCAGCTTTGTACTTTATTACGTCTAAAGCTATGGCAGTAATAAAATGTGGAAACCAACGCTTTTGATATTAAGAAGGGCTGGGTAAGTAACTTGTTCTGTTTTTTGTTCGGTTTTTTTCTATGGGTTTACCGGTATAATAAACCATAGGTTTTTGACCAATCAGATCACGCGTACTATCTCAGTTATTTTATAATTTTTTTTTACCCCCAAATCCAATATTTTCTAATTTTTCCAAAACTTTAAACATCCCCCGCCCCTACTTTTTGTACATTAAAAACATTCGAAAAATGATCCAAAATTCTCAAAAAAATGATTGAATTAAGGACTCCAACTTACTAGAGTCATTTTTCGATTGCACGAAATCTTGGCTACATATTTAAGGAAAAGGGTGGAAATCGACGAAAAATTATGCTTTTAACAATACTGTCCCCTTAGAGGGACAAATTAAGGGTGCCTTCCACTAACACAATCTATCCCGCTGGAAAAAGTGAACGTGGTGAAGAGAACTCCATTCACCGCGAACTCAAAAATGAGCGGCCGAAGACGCGCAAATGGGGAGAAGGAACGAAAAATCCACCAATGACTACTCATGGGATTTTTTTAAAAAAAATTACGAACAGGCGCTTTCTTCATATCAGCGAATGAGGTTTGCTGAATACCGCCCTCTAACGAAGGGGCTGAGAGATTTAAAGCAATTTATAACAAGGAAAAAACTTTGGGCATTCTTTCCACTATCAAAATTTCTACCTGACCGATTTTCATGGGCCACCAAATGATAAAACATGAGGACGTATTCTTCTATTCCCTCTAATCTTTGAAATATCTATTAGGTAACCTCTGTTAACGTCACGTTAAAATTATCTCTGCTTACCAGTTTTCACAGTGAGTTGTACTTCAGTCTCTACGCGAACCGTCTCACTCTGAGCAGAGCAAGTATAAACATCACTGTCTTCAGCTGTCAGGCTGTTTATCTTAAGCTGTCCGTCCTTCACCTGTGTGCGTCCTTCTGGCATATCTCCTTTGCATCTTGACCATGTTATTTTCGGAATTGGATTTCCGACTGCGGAGCAGTTCAGTGTAACTGACTGTCCATGATAAAGGTCTATCTTCTTTGGTGGTTTGACTGTAAATTGAGGCACCACATTAATGATCAAAGTTGTCATGGCGTGCGAAGCGCCCATGGCGTTTTTAGCCGTGCAGATTTATGTTCCTCCGTCTTTTTTCTGCAGTTTTTTTATCGTCAAGGTTTGACCTTCTACAGCGCTTCTTCCAGTTGGAAGTTGATCAAAAAGCTTTGTCCAGGAGATCACCGGAGGGGGATATCCGATGACCCCGCACTCGGGAAGACTGATATCTTTACCCATCTCAGCGTATATTGGTCCAGGGACAAGATAAATTTCTGGAAGAGCTGTAATTGATGAATATTATAAGATTAGATTATAATTCATCTTATATTTTATTAAGGTAATCGATTTGCCTACTGTAGGGATTCAATTTTTTTTTTTTTTTCATGTACTTATACTTCTTGGAAAAGAAGCGTGTAAAGTACTGATTGGTAGAGGGAAGGGATTAAAAATGTAGCACATGAAACATATTTTCATCAAATCATAAATTTAGGGGCTACGTCCAGTCGTAGTTTATAAATCATATGGTAGAAATACACTTTTGGTTAAAACATATTGCATGAAAACAATAAAAAGTTGAGTTCAGGGATAGACAGCGCTTTTAAAAACTGACCAGAGAACGGATTGATTTGAACAGACAGGGTAATAGGCAGTCCTGGAACAGGCCAGTACCCCAAAAATTGTAATTATAGTAACTGAAGGGATTTTTAGACATAAAGGAAAGAAGAAAGCAGGATCGACGATGTAAATGTAGTTTTATCAATATTCGGTACAAAGACTAAGGATAACTAAGTATGAGTGTACTGTAAACGTTCTGTCATAGAAGAGTACATTTTATTGGACAAATTATTGCTGTTTATTATTTTACCTCTGACATTTAGTGTGACAGCTGCCTGAGCGGTTCCTTGGTCTGTGCTTATTGTACAGACGTACATCCCATTATCACTATTGATCACATTCTTCATATACAGTATCCCTTTGACGATGGCATGTCTTCCAACGGGGAGAGATCCATCTTTTTTAGTCCATGAGATTGTTGCAACAACGTTTTTATCCGGTGTACACTGAAATTTAGCTGACTCGTTTAAAGCGACAATCATAACTGCCGGTTTGACCAAAATCCCAGGAGCCTTAATGACGTCCACTGATTGGTTCACAACTGGCTGCAGGGAAGTTGGAATCGATGAATTTGATTCCCCAGGGTCCCCTCTTTGTCCCTTCAATCCAGGGGGCCCCTGAGGTCCTTGAGATCCTTGAGGTCCTCGGGGTCCTGCAGGTCCTTGAGGTCCCGGTGGTCCTTGACGTCCCGGGGGACCCCGAGGTCCCCGAGATCCCTTCACACATATTTGGCGTCCTTTCTTGGTGCAGACTTTACGTGTTGCAGAGTTGACAGCTTTAGTGATTTGTTTTTGTATCGCTGGAGTCAGAGAACTGTTCAGAGATCTCTTTTTGGAACAATTTCTTTCATTAAGGAATTTAATTTTGACATAAAATAAATCAAGAATGCTAAAACTATCCGTTTTGTTGCTGGTTGGTGCATGGTTAAGTTTTCCTGGAGACTTTCTACACCAGAAATTCACACAGTTGTTGTCTTTCTCTGCGATTTGGTATCGTCGTGAAATGTAAACTGCTTTCCAGCTTTGTACTTTATTACGTCTAAAGCTATGGCAGTAATAAAATGTGGAAACCAACGCTTTTGATATTAAGAAGGGCTGGGTAAGTAACTTGTTCTGTTTTTTGTTCGGTTTTTTTCTATGGGTTTACCGGTATAATAAACCATAGGTTTTTGACCAATCAGATCACGCGTACTATCTCAGTTATTTTATAATTTTTTTTTACCCCCAAATCCAATATTTTCTAATTTTTCCAAAACTTTAAACATCCCCCGCCCCTACTTTTTGTACATTAAAAACATTCGAAAAATGATCCAAAATTCTCAAAAAAATGATTGAATTAAGGACTCCAACTTACTAGAGTCATTTTTCGATTGCACGAAATCTTGGCTACATATTTAAGGAAAAGGGTGGAAATCGACGAAAAATTATGCTTTTAACAATACTGTCCCCTTAGAGGGACAAATTAAGGGTGCCTTCCACTAACACAATCTATCCCGCTGGAAAAAGTGAACGTGGTGAAGAGAACTCCATTCACCGCGAACTCAAAAATGAGCGGCCGAAGACGCGCAAATGGGGAGAAGGAACGAAAAATCCACCAATGACTACTCATGGGATTTTTTTAAAAAAAATTACGAACAGGCGCTTTCTTCATATCAGCGAATGAGGTTTGCTGAATACCGCCCTCTAACGAAGGGGCTGAGAGATTTAAAGCAATTTATAACAAGGAAAAAACTTTGGGCATTCTTTCCACTATCAAAATTTCTACCTGACCGATTTTCATGGGCCACCAAATGATAAAACATGAGGACGTATTCTTCTATTCCCTCTAATCTTTGAAATATCTATTAGGTAACCTCTGTTAACGTCACGTTAAAATTATCTCTGCTTACCAGTTTTCACAGTGAGTTGTACTTCAGTCTCTACGCGAACCGTCTCACTCTGAGCAGAGCAAGTATAAACATCACTGTCTTCAGCTGTCATAAATAAAAATGGCGGACACTTCACTCGTTTCAAGAGTAAAAACTACAGCTGGAACTAGGCGTAATAATAGCAAAAAACATAGCAAAAACAGCAAGAAGACAACTCGGAGGGCGACATCTGCTATTTGGAGAGTATTTGCGGAGCTGGACAAGCCTAAACGTAAACTATCGAAGATAAACTTAACATCGATTGTTCCATAGAAGAGCGCCACTGTAACTGAACTACGCTTCAGGTAATCAGTTCTTGCTTTTGGCAGCATTAATTTTTTCTTCGCGTTGCGAAAATAACAATTTGGTGTTCTTCAGGCTAACAAATAACAGAGATAAGCTGGGGCGAGATTATTAATGCACTTGTACATTAAATTAGCCTTTTGTTTAGCCCTTCTAACCGATAAATTGTCCCAACCAAGCGAGTTAAGAAGAAATTTGGAACTAGTAGCGCGATTTTGAAGTTTTTGAAGTTTCTCACTAAGCTGTTGGGCCAAGCTATCCCATACAGCGCTGCAATAATCAAAGTGTGGCTCGATAAGGCCTTTGTATATTTTAATTGCAGTGTGCATTGAAACAAATGGCCTGACCCGCTTAAGAGCACCTATACCAGAGGATACTTTTTTTTAAATGATTTCATGAATGTGGGCCTTCCACGAGAGATTTTCATCAATGATAAGCCCGAGAGATTTGCTTTGATTGCTTTGGCTTATTGGGACGCCGTCTATATGAATATTCATTGTGTAGTCCTTTAAGGACTGTAGTTTCTGCCTCGAGCTAATAACCATAAACTCTGTTTTGGCGACATTGAGACTTAACTTATTAGCTTTGAGCCAGCGATCAATATATTTCAGGTCATTATTGATTTGGGACTCAAGATCAGGTATAGTAGCTGCTGAAAAGGTAACATTAGTGTCGTCGGCATACATTGTAGTTAAAGTAATAAACAGTTAATGACAATTAAGGGAAGAACTTGATCACGTGGTATGATGATGATGATGATGAACTTTATTCATGTGTCGATGTATTTAGCTGACGCTAATTGGGGACACAACATAAAGATAAATAAATAATGAATAACATGATAAATAAAAGATAAGAAATAAAAAAGCTATTAAAAAAAAGCTATAGTATAATCCTATATATATTACATATACATTTACAATATGCTAAAATAATCAAAACAATTCTAGGAACAGGGGCACAACTTAAGAGGTACAAATTACGCACGCGGAGCAATTGTTGCCATTTATCAGTTCAGTGAGATCCTTACATCTAATATGAAACTTAAACCTAGATAGGCTGCTCGTTTCAGTGATGTTTTTATCTAGCTTGGTACAAATTTATGTTTGCCGTTTGGCGTTAACTTGAATCTTAATCTCTTTAATCTCTCTATGTTTTCCTTCTAAAAGGTCAGAGCTTGCAGAATGAATAGTTTGCAATACGTTGAATTGAAGAACAAACAATAGGTCTTATTCTCTCAATCTGCTTACTGTCGATATAAAAAGCACGTGATAGCAAGAGTTCTTCTCTTCTTGATCCTCCATAAGGTTTTAATTTTGTGGTCACAAATAGTCTCTTAGAAATTTGTAAAGATTTATACGATATGACAATCGACTTGGAAAATCCGTGTTTTCTTTTTTAAAAATCAGTTGGCAAGTTCATGATTTATATAACTGTTAATCATTTGGTTAATATCTGAAGTATCTGTGAGAGACATTTTCTGCTTCCGTCTTATGGAACCGGAAATTGTAGAAAATCTAAAGGCCTGACAAGGAAGCATAAAAATGAGACCTTTGCATAAGGACGTGGGGTCTTAAATGTCGATTTTTTTGTTTTTTAAAGGACACGATCCTTTGTTCCCATTTACTGTCAAGAATATCATCAGTGCCCCAAATCAAATCGTAGAAATGGGACAAATAAAATAAATAGCCAGTTATGTTCAAGAACTACCGAAGAGATTCCGTTTGACTGATGGTCACAGAAAGACTCAAGAGGTGCATCACTGTTGCATGCATAAATTTAACCAAACTTTCCTCCGGCAGTGGAAATGATTGAAAAGGGGTGACCGTCTCTGGCAGACTGCATCTCATTACAACTTAATGAGCTGAAGCTGAAGTGATATGTTTTAGATGCAATTGTAGATCTACGTAGTTAAGATTAGGTTTCGAAAGGAGGAAACTTTTCGTACGTCTATTTTTGATAGGAAAACCGTTATCTTTCTCCGTATTACCAAACCCAAAATGATAAAAGGTCTAAGACGAAAAGGCAGCTTAGAATTACCTTTGTTCAAGAAAGGAGAGTCCGTTACCGTCTTTCTTGGCTCTTGGTTTTTCTCCAATGAGAAGATTCTGTCCCTCTGAGCTCTCAATTCCAGTTCCAATCTTACAAAGCCAGCAGTGAAGAAAAGTACACTGATAAACGTTACACAGCAACAACCCACAAGAAGGCGGGAANGTTAATCATTTGGTTA